TTAGTTAGGTAACCTCCCTGCAGTCATACAGCTAAATAACATCATGTGTGGGATTTGGATCTGAGTTCTGTATACTCTGAGTCAGCACTTTCTCCATGAAAACACACAACCTCTTGGACTGGGTTATATGGTAGTCTTTACTTTTAATCATGGCAGTAGCAATGGTTTGGAAATAAATTACTCTAAAGGCTTATCTGAATTTAAGAAAAGTAAGCTTGATCTGGTTACACTGAGATCACTTTTAATCATCGTTTTTACCACCTGGAAGTGCCTAGGATTCTTGTCCTTTTTTTTTTTTTTTTTTTTACTTATGGTAGTGATGAAGGTGGTTTGTATGCAGTAGCTTCCATATGAAAGGAGGAGGAGAGAGGAAAAAAAGTGATGTGGTTAAACAATTATTCAGGTAATCAGTAAATATGTATTGAGCACCTACTGTATGCAAGGCACTGTACCTCGTGGGAAATAACAGGAAAGGTAAGATACTGGTATTGCCTTGAATTGAATTGGGAGGAGATTATGTAGCCTAAGTAATAACATAAGGGGATCTAAGTGCCAAAAGAATGAAATAGACAAAAGTGTCTAATAGTTGGAGGAAGGAGAGATTATGGTAGGCTAGAGTAATCATTGAGGGTTTCATAGATAAAGTGGGTTAGAACTAGGCCTGGGTAAGCTTCTTTTTGGGGGTAAGGACGTTGCAGGCCATTTGAGTAAAGAAGTGATCTTCTTCAAGGTTTTTTTCTTTACTTACTGATAAGATCTCATTGTCCTAAATGTTTCTTATTTAAGGCTGAATGTTGAGAACTGGATATAGAAGTTTGTATTCTGTTATAATTTTACCGTAGTGAAAATTTTGACATTACCAGGACTCTCAGCCCTTCCCCGCCCCCCTGTCTTTTTAAAGCTTATCTAGAAAAAAATATATTATTGCCAAAATATTTATGTTGCAAGAGATTCTGGAGAGACGCTTAGCAGCCATTCTGATTTATGAGTTAGAAAATAGTAAAATCTCTAAAGTATTTTTGCTTATATATGTATATTTGCTTGGATATGTAGAGTTATAATTACAAATATAGTTAAGTAAGGGGTAAAGTTCAGAAAACACAAGTTTTTATTTATTATTCTAAGACCTAGGTTCTATTCCTGACTCACCTACCAATTCGCTGTGTGACTTTGGAAAGTCATTGCCTTTCTGCACCTCAGTTTGCTGTAAAATGAGTAACATCTTATGATTTATAGAGTATTTGTCAGCACAGCTGGATTAACTAATTATTCACAAATTGAATTTAGCGTGAAATCAACACTCCTGAGAAAATGGAAAATTTTTAACAGTTCACTAAAATAGTCCACTCCTTTTTTTGGCCTTTGGTCCCAGTAGCAAAGTAGTTGCTATGAGCATCCTAGTCACAAAGGGGACTTCACAACTGGGCTTTTTACTCTTAGATCTGCCCTCCTGACTGGGCTTCACACAAGACCCTGCATCTCCTGACTCCAGGCATTTTGATTGGTGTCTCCCTTCCATCCCTGGAATTCCCTCCCTCTTCATCTCCACTTCCTGGCTTTCTTGGCTTCCTTCAGATCTTAGCTCAAATCTCACCTTCCGCAAGAAGCTTTTCCCAATCCCACTTCATGCTAGTGCATTCTCTGTATTGGTTATCTATAATTTATCTACATGTATACATGCACATATGTATTACATATATACAAATTAACATGCAGACAACTATATATAAACTATATATAAATATGTGATATAATATACACAATTATATGTGTGTGTGTATATACATATACATATATATGTGAAAATACAATGTGTGTGTGTTGTTTAGTTGTTTGCATTTTATCTTCTCCATTTGACTGTAAACTCCTTGAGGGCAGGGACTGTTCCACCCTCCCCTTTCTTTGTATCCCCAGTTCTTAGCACAGTGCCTGACACATAGTAGGTACTTAAATGCTTTTAACTGACTGACTGGAGAGGATTGTGATTAGTTCCTTTCCATTTTTACTGAGGGTAGAAGAAGAAGAAATGGGCTTAAAATGAAGCAAGAGAAACTTGGGTTAGACTGGAGAGTCTTGGATGTAGATATTTAAAATAATAGAATGAAGTTGTGGAATTTCCTTCTTTGGGAGTCTTTTAGAAGATTGTCACCTCTGTGGAATGACTTTGGAAGTTAGTGGTATCCTTACATTTCTTCCAATCTCCCACAGTGCTCTGGTCACTAACAAAATTAACTCACTTTTGTAGAGGGCTTCCCAAGTCTTAGTACAATTTTAGGTTTTTGGATTTCCCCACCCTCCCCCACTTAATAGTATTTTATTTTTTCCAATTACATATAAACGTAGTTTTCAACATTCACTTTTATAAGATTTTTGAGTTCCAAATTTTTTGCCCCCTCCCTCTTCCCCAAAATGGCATGCAATCTGGTATAGGCTATACATGTACAAACATATTAAACATATTTTCACATTAGTCAGGTTGTGAAAGAAGAATCAGAACAAAAGGGAAAAACTACAAGAAAGAAAAAACAAAAACAAAAAAAGAGAAAATAGTATGCTTTGATCTGCACTCAGACTCCATGGTTCTTTCTCTGAATATGGATAGCATTTTCCATCATGAATCTTTTGGAACTGTCTTAGGTCATTGTATTGCTGAAAAGAGCCAAATCTATCAAGGTTGATCATTGCACAATGTTGCTGTTACTGTACAGTGCTCTCCTGGTTCTGCTTACTTCACTCTACATCAGTTTGTGTAAGTCCAGGTTTTTCTGTAATCCACACTGCTCATCATTTCCTATAGCACATTAGTATTCTATTATATTCATATGTCATAACTTGTTCAGCCATTCCCCAATTGATGGGCATCCCCTCAATTTCCAATGCCTTGCCACCACTAAAAGGGCTATAATGCTGATTTTGGTACCTTAAAATTTCACTAAGACTTTTTGAGACACCCTGCGTATCATTTAAAGCTTGTAAAGTATGTTTCTCCCACCATCCCTATGAAGTAGATAGTGCAAGTATTATTATTCCCATTTTAAGATTGAAAAAACAATGAGGCTGACAGGTTGTCACTAGTTTAAGGTCACATGGGTAGTAAGTGTCAGAGATGGGATCTGAACCCAAGTCTCTTGCTCTCTGCCCTGTGTCCCAGGCTTCCAAGTCCTGTTCTCTTTCCATTAGATGAATTGTAAACATTTGTTGCTTCAAAGATAAATTGACCCCTTAGACTTTTCCACTTTCAGAATGCTCTGGTTCTGCCTAAAAGTAACAGGTTGAGTTATTTTGGTTCCAGACTTAAAGGAATAGAAACATAGCCATAATCACCTTTACTTATAGTATTCATATTATTATTAATGTTAGTATTATTTAGAATAGCAATAGTATACAAACAGCCAGAGTGATATTCATTTACAAAACAAAGATAACAAGAAGACAGATGTGTGTTTCTGCCTAGCTACTATCCTTGGGTACCAGTCTTTGTTTGGTTCTGGGAAATGAAGCCATACCTGTGGACGTAATTGCTTCTATCTAGTCTATAAATAGATTCAGAGTGGGGGTGGTGGGGATTGTGAGGGGTGTACAGGGTTAGGGTCTATGGAGTTTTGTGCTGAAGCAGACAAAAGAAGCCCGAGCCTTTTCTAAATACAGCCATCTGGGGTAGGACTTC